GGAATCTACAGTCAGTGAATGTCATGCTTGGGACTGATGTATGGTGTGAATATTGTGCAGAGAATACACAGCAAGGAAACTAGAAAAGTGTATTGGCCATTTAGAAAGGAGTGTGCAAGATTAAGTTGAGAAATTATGTAAATGTTAGGTTGATTGAAGGTTTGTAACATACCACAAAGGGTTGGCTGAAAAGAAGCTGGAGTGGTTGGAGCTTGAGCATCCAATGTGTGTACTCCCATTTCTCTTCATCTATTTGTAGTTGCAGGGATCGATTCTCAGGTACTGGCCCTTCCCTTTAACCTACCACTTTTCAGATTCACTTCCTCTTAGCCTCATGGGCTCTGTTGTACCTACTCTGAAAATTGTGTGAAGCCTGCCTCATTTCCCAATCCCCCTGAGACTGAGGAAATACTTTCTAACTTCCCTGTGGCTCATCTTTGCCTTTAACTTCCAACGGTGTTGTCCCTGAGTTCCCATTTTTTGCCTCTCACCCAGCCTGTGCCTGTCAACCTTATCAGGTCACCTGCATATTTTGTCTTTATGGTTTTTATCCACCTACGTTGTTAAGCCCGATTACATTAGCAGCACCTCGTAATTTATGCCCCTTAGCTGAGGAATAAGCCTTGTTGCATGCTTCTGCATTTTTTCTAGTTTCTTGACATGCTCCTTCAGGTGCAGGTTCCAAACGTGTGTGGGAGGAGGGGGGTACAAGTGAGGGAAGTAATTATGAGCAAGTGTTGAGAGTAGTTTTTGTGGGGGAGGGGATTGGATGTGGTGTCTGAGAGAAAAAAACAGAAGGTAATGTCTGTGGAGGTATCTGAGGACACCAGCTAATAGACTTCAATTCTGGAGGTGAGATATAGTGCCAACACTGAAGGATGGGTGAGAATGGTCTGTTTTGGTGAATTGTTTATGTAAGACATTTTGGAAATGAACTTGTAGTGCATATGCATTCCTTCTTGGGTTGCTTTGTCTTACTGAAAGATGGCTCATGTGTTTCAAGAAAATGTTCCATTTGGTATAAATCATTAAACAAGGGCAGAATTAATAATTACTGATAACCTGGAAGGGGAGGGAGGGAGAGAGGCATGTGTGTGCACGTACATTTAATAAAGCCCTGTGCAGGATTTCTTGGGAGTTCTTTGTTGCCAGATAACTTACTGCAGAGGGCTCTTTCTACAGTCTTCTCCCCCCCCCCTTTTTTTAGTACATAAGTAAAAGAGTAACATTTATGAAGGGATTCGGTAAAACCAGCAGGCCAGACTTGAATCCTAGAGGTGGAAATAGTGCCTGCACTCTGAAGGAGGGGTGTTATTTTGCATTTTTTAACTGTAGTGTGGGCATGCCTCTGGCAAGAGAGTGATGAAGTGAATGATAAGAATGTTTCTTCTTTGGGTCACTGTTCCGTGGTGGGAAACTGCTGATCTGTTAAAAAAAAGGGGGGGGGGAATTACAATAAGGTAGTTGGTATAAGAACTTGTTCTGGTGATAAATACAGATGGAGAATAATTATATGAGGGTTGAGGGGAGGACATGACCAATATTGATTTTTTCAATTAATATAATATATACCAAAAGGTTGAATCTGGTGTCCTCTTCTAAATTACAGGTATATTTACATAGTCTTGGTGAATGATAAGTGAAGCTTCAGTTTGAAACAAGCAGAATGGCTGGCCCAGTGCAGAAAGTAGTAGACAATCCTCATACCACCCATATAAACCAGTGAGTTAAAAAAAAAAAATTGTTGACACAGTGGCGTTGAATTTTTTTTATAGAAGCCCAGTTATAGCATTTTTTGTATTGAAGAATGCTGGAAAACCATTAAATTATTAAGAAAAAGCATTTAAGACAATGCAGTGGGGTTATTTATGGGCTTCTGTGGTATCATTGAGGCATTAAATATTTGTTTAATACACTGCTCGTCTCCCACCGAGGCAAGGTGACCCCCCAAAAAAAGTGCCTTCATTATCTCTCTTACCAGAAGGGTGTTCTGATGCTGCAGTTCAGATGCCTCTCTAAACTAAATATCCCCATCCCTCTTTTAGAGTGCAGGCATTGTAATTCTTACCTCCAGGACTCCACTCCAACTAAGTAGTTTCCCTTCATAAATTTTAACCTTTCTCTCACACTAACAGCACATCTTCATAAAATCCTACTTGCCTCTTCTCCTATCCCCCCCCCCCCACACACACAGCATTCCGACATCTTAATAAGGAATCGTTCAGGACCCTGTACACCGTGTACGTTAGGCCCATATTGGAGTATGCGGCACCAGTTTGGAACCCACACCTAGCCAAGCATGTAAAGAAACTAGAGAAAGTGCAAAGGTTTGCAACAAGACTAGTCCCAGAGTTAAGAGGTATGTCCTATGAGGAGAGGTTAAGGGAAATCAACCTGACGACACTGGAGGACAGGAGAGATAGGGGGGGACATGATAACGACTTACAAAATACTGAGAGGAATTGACAAGGTGGACAAAGACAGGATGTTCCAGAGACTGGACACAGCAACACGGGGACACAGTTGGAAGCTGAAGACACAGATGAATCAAAGGGATGTTAGGAAGTATTTCTTCAGCCACAGAGTAGTCAGGAAGTGGAATAGTTTGGGAAGCGATGTAGTGGAGGCAGGATCCATACATAGCTTTAAGCAGAGGTACGATAAAGCTCATGGTTCAGGGAGAGTGACCTAGTAGCGACCAGTGAAGAGGCGGGGCCAGGAGCTTGGACTCGACCCCTGCAACCTCAACTAGGTGAGTACACACACACACACACACACACACACACACACACACACACACACACACACACACACACACACACACACACACACACACACACACACACACACACACACACACACACACACACACACACACACACACACACACACACGCACGCACGCACGCATGCCTGCACGCCTGCTGCAGGCACTTGCATAGAAAAAAACTTCCTTTACCATCTCCCTCCAACCTTTCCTGGGGTGACCCCTACTCCTCCCTTCCACTACAGATTTATGTACCCTCCAACCTCTCTAAATGTCCAAACCACCTCAACAACTCCCCCTCAGCCCTCCAGATAATTTTAGTAACCCTTCACCTCTTAATCTCAGTTTGCTGCATAGTATTTACACCACACATTTATCCTCCTTTTCTTAAACTATATATTAACTATTACCAAATCTCTTATTATAGAAAGTTTAATCATTTACCCCTGGCACCCCAAACCTACCTGCCATGCCCTCCACAGCATATCTTTGCTTCTTGTGCTCTACAACCCCTTCTAAATTATCATGTCATTTTCCTGAGTTTGATATAATTATTTTTCCAGCTGCATTGGACTGTGTCATTAAATACCCAATTCATCCATCCACCCATTTAATTTACTTTTTTTTAATTATCATATCCCAGTTATTATTCTGCTCTACCCATGACATTTATAGCTCAACAAAGATCATGCCCTTCGGTGATTCTTCAGTTTTTATGTGGTAATGTTTGTGAGATAACCATACTTAGGGAGAAGCAAATTCATTAATACATATGATGAAGTTGAGTCAGTGAGTCATTAAGATGCATTTCTAATTGACGTACGTGCTAATTGTATCTACTGTGCACACCACTGAATTGTCAGGGATACATTCATACACATACAGTGGACCCCCGCTTTACGATCAGCTCCCAATGCGACCAATTATGTAAGTGCGTTTGTACGTGTATGTTTGGGGGTCTGAAATTGACTAATCTAATTCACAACATACCTTATGGGAACAAATTTGTTCAGTACTGGCACCTGAACATACTTCTGGAATGAAATAATATCGTAAACCGGGGGGTCCACTGTATTTTGATGTACAATTTTTCTGCTCCATTTTCTACTGAGTTCAACTTGTTGGCAGTTTAAATTTTATTTACCTGAGTTAACAACTGTGACTCATTTTAATTTTTTTTTTTTAGCATGTTCATTTCTGCAATTCAGTAATGAAAGCTAGTGCTTTCTCTCTCTCTCTCTCTCTCTCTCTCTCTCTCTCTCTCTCTCTCTCTCTCTCTCTCCTCTCTCTCTCTCTCTCTCTTCTCTCTCTCTCTCTCTCTCTCTTCTCTCTCTCTTCTCTTCTCTCTTTCTCTCTCTCTCTCTCTCTCTCTCTCTCTCTCTCTCTCTCTCCTCTCTCTCTCTTCTCTCTTCTTCTCTCTCTTTTCCTCTCTCTTCTCTTCTTCTCTCTCTCTCTCTCTTCTCTCTCTTCTCTCTTCTCTCTCTCTCTCTCTCCTCTCTCTTTCTCTCTCTTCTCTCTCTCTTTCTCTCTCTTCTCTCTTTCTTCTCTCTCTTCTCTCTCTCTCTCTTCTCTCTCTCTTTCTCTCTCTCTCTCTCTCTTCTTTCTCTCTCTCTTTCTCTCTCTTTCTTCTCTCTCTCTCTTCTCTTTCTCTCTCTTCTCTCTCTTCCTCTCTTCTCTTCTCTCTCTTCTCTTCTCTTTTCTCTTTCTCTCTCTCTTCTCTCTCTTCTTCTCTCTCCTCTCTTCTTTCTCTCTTTCTCTTTTCTTTCTCTTTCTCTCTCTTCTTCTCTCTCTCTCTCTCTCTCTCTCTCTCTCTCTCTCTCTCTCTTCTCTCTTCTCTTCTCTCTCTTCTCTTTCTCTCTTTTCTCTTCTCTCTCTATCTCTCTTTCTCTCTCTTTCTTCTCTTTCTCTTCTCTTTCTTTCTCTCTTCTCTTCATCTTCTCTTTACTCTTATCTTCTTTACTTGTCAATTTCAACTTGTATATATACTTCATTTAGTGCAATCTTCATCTCTTGCTTGCATAACTGTAAAATCAGTTCATTACTTCAGATTGCCTTAAAATATATATGTTTCTGTATCCACTATGCATTAACTAAAATTTCAAGTTTCTTAGTGCATTACATATATAGTAGAATATACTGTGTTAAAAATAAGGTGTTGATATAATTAATCATTGCATGGAAGCTGTATATCAGTAGTAATAATAAGAAAAGTACTTGTCCTATTTTTATGACAGCTGACATGGGGAAATTAACAGCACCAAGTCAGGGGCTAGTTATAGAGGATGTTAAGGAGGACCTTGATGATGTGCCAGAACTAATAGAAGCAGGACAGGAGACCATGGAGGAGTGTACCCCAACAAAGGAGGACAAGATTCAAAATGAGGAAACTCTTCCTGCTAAGGATGAAGATAAACTTCATATTTGTGTTCACGAGGATAAGACAGAGGCTTCATCTACTTCTGAGAAGAAACCAACCCCTTTTAGCAGTGAGACAGAGGCCAAGACAGTGTCTTCTTCCCCAAGCAATGAAGATAAGAAAGAAGCATCTTACCTTAGCAGTAAGGCAGAGGAAAAGCAAGAAGCACCATCCCCTATCAGTAAGGAGGCAGAAAAGAAAGAAGCACCATCCCCTACCAGTAAGGAAGCAGAAAAAAAAGAAGCACCATCCCCTACTAGTAAGGAGGCAGAAAAGAAAGAAGCATCATCCCCAAATAAAAAGAAGGGCTCTAAAGAAGATCCGAAGAAAAAAGGAATTCACGCATCTGGTAAGAACACTGACAAAAGGTCTGCACCTGGTGAAGACTTGCAGGAGCAGGCTGTGCCATCTGTTGAGGAGACAAAGAAAAAAATGGCTCCAGCCAGTGCCAAGGAAGCCAAGAAAAAACCATCCTCTGGCAAGGAAGAAACAAAAAAGACAGCGGTTCTGGACCAAGCTAAAGTAACAGCTGAAGCAGCAGGTACCACATGTGTTGAAGTAGTCAATGAAGTAGCCAGAGCCCCAGCTGAGGGAGAGGACAAAGAGGTGGCTGTTCCAGCTGAGGTTAAAAGGGAAGCTGCTCAAACGAAGGGACAGTCCAAAAAAGATGCTGTTCAAACAAAAGGACAAAAAAAGGAAAGGGCAAAAAAGGAGGTTGCTCAGTCAAAAGGGCAACTTAAAAAGGAGTCTGCTTCAGCGAGAGCTAGGGAAGAGGTAAAAAAAGAGGCTGCTTTGGTACCTAAGAATGAACCTGATGCTACTGAAGCAGGTACTAAGGATGAACTCAAAAAGGCAGATTTCCAAGCACATACTCAGGAGGAGCCTAAGGGGAAGTCTATTCCAGTGCCCTCTGAGGATGCCCACAAAAAGGCAGCTATTCCATCCCCTGCTAAAGGTAAACCCAAAAAGGAGGTTGTCCCAGAACCTGCCAAGGATGAACCTAAAAAGGAGGATGTGTCAGTACTTGCTGAGGGCAAACCTAAAAAGGAGGCTGTCCCAGCATCTAAGGAAAAACCCATGGAAGCTGATGAAGCACTTAAAGAAGAACCAAATAAGGTGGCTACTACAGCATCTGCTAAGGAAAACCCTCAGATAGTAGATGCAAAAGTAATGGTTGCTGCTACTGCTAATGAAGCTGTTTCTACACTTGCTGCCCCTACAGTGAAGGCTGCTGAGACAATTCTAGTTACTGCTGAGGAGATTGTTCCAACTCTTATTACTCCTGTTGAAGAGATTGCCCTAGCTCCTGCTGAGGGAGCCACTGGAGCTGCTGCCCCTGCTGAGGTGGTGGTTGCTGCTGCTACTACTATCCCAGCCAAGGAGACTGCCACTGCTGCTACCCCAATTATGGAGACTGCTGCTGCTGCTACCCCAGCTATGGAGACTGCTGCTGCTGCTACCCCAGTTATGGAGACTGCCACTGCTGCTACCCTAGCCAAGGAGACTACTGCTGATGCTACCCCAGCTGTGGAGACTGCCGCTGCTGCTACCCCAGCTATGGAGACTGCTGCTGCTGCTACCCCAGCTATGGAAACTGCCACTGCTGCTACCCCAGCTATGGAGACTGCTGCTGCTGCTACCCCAACTATGGAGACGGCTGCTGCTATTCCCACACTTGCTGAAGAGACTGCTGTTGCTACCCCTCCCCCTGCTAAGGAGCCTGCTACTCTTGCTGCAAATGAAACTGCTGCAGCAGTTCCAGTTGCTACACCCACACAAGTCCCAGCTTCACTTCCTACTGCACCAAGTACAACTTCAGGTGTTACATCCTCACCAGTTCCAAACCTATCATCCTCTAGCACCCCAGTTCCTGCATCACCTTCCATACCCATCCCTGTCTCTGCTTCTCCTCCCCAAGCTCGATCTGGATCTGGACAGCCTGCAAAGAGCAAATCAATTAAGAAGCAGAAGCAAAAGGGAAAGTAGGGTATGTTTATTTTGTGTGAAACAAACATGGCCTTCCCGTTGTGTTGCTGGGGTAGTTTGCAGCCCCTTGTGTATTTCCATCATGAGCATTTTATTACTCAGAATGCCCACTTGGCTATTTGATATTTCTCATATCTCAGCATAGTTGTATATTTGAGTGGCTTATTTAGTGTGATGAGTGTTACTCCCAGTCAAAGGGATCTGATACTACAGAATAGTAGTGTTTAATGGCATGACTATATATTTGAATAACCCACAAATTTTAACACTAATCTAGTTCAAAACTTGCGTAATGTAGGTGGTTATTAACAGTATTGTGATTTTCTTTACCCTAACTTCTTAAGATATTGGTGGTAATTGTTGGCCTATTGTGTAGTTACACTCTGTTGAAGTGATATATTAATGATAAAATTTTATATTTTTAATAATAATTTCAGGTCTGAGGCTAGATGATTTAATTGTACATAGTTCCTTTAAACACATTCTCACTTCACTGTAAAACAATGGAGGATTTTGGTTTGCCAATTTATCCATATCATTTGTGTGTTGTAGATAACTTAAGATGGATAAATTGATATGACCAAACTTGTACAATAAATGCCATTCAAACAAATGTGTACTTAACAGTAGACAGTGGCACACGTGAATTGGTCACGATAGTGGCTAGTTGATAATGATTTTGTAAATTTGGTAATGTTAGAAAGGGAATATGTTTAGAGTGCTGACTAGTCAAGGATTCTAGTGCTTTGTAAATAAATTAAATTGTACATTTGTTATAGCCTTTGCTCAGTCACTTTGTGATGGCACTTTTTTTTTTTTTTTTTTTTTTAAACTTGGCTCATGACTTTATATAATGTCTTATCCCAGGTGCATTCTTTTGGCTTGCATGGTCAGTTCCCACTGTTGCTCAAGGTCTTCACATATTCCCCTTTCATGGAAGGTTCCTTGATAACAGTGGAGGCTCCTAACCCAAGGAATTGGATCTGCTCTTCCCTTGGATCAAGCCTGAATGCCTCCTCCCATTTTCCCCCCAGTGCTATATGACCCCTATGGGTTTAGCACTTCCCCATGAATGTAATAATCTTATGACCTTCGTGACTGATCAATACTTTAGTGTCTTGATCAATAATTTTTTTTTTTTACCAACAGTGTCTTCAAGCAAAAGACATCCCAGTAGGGTGTTTTTAACACAACCATGCTTGTATTGGTTATTAATAGTTTAGCCTCAGTATCCAGAAATTTCAGTTTAATTTACTCCTTACAAAATGCAGTCAAATATCCATCCAGCTGGGCTACATCACACATGACTTCATTTTCAGTGTGCAAAACAAATTCAATCATATTAAAATGGAGTACTTTAATTTCCAGTTTTGTATTCTTAATGTACGAGTTTCCAATTCTGTCCTACCAAACTGTTAAATTTCTCAGCCTTCAGACTAGTTGCTTCCTTAATTTGCTTTGTTTTCTTTCTTTATTGTAGTCTGACTCTCAAAGTACATAACACACTGTCTGGAGCTTTGACTTGTTGCATCCCATTGTATTTCAGAGTTGATATTAGCTATGCAAACTCTTCAGTAAGCAGAAACCCATTGTCTTACACTGTCTCGGGTATATTGAACTTGCTGACTTCATGTTCATGTGGGCTGGAATGCTAACACAGATTTCACATAGTTCTGATGGGCACCTTTCTGTGCCAAGACACATTTTGATTGATTGTACCATTTATTAAAGAAAATATAATAATTTTTGGCCAATTCCAGCACCTGGGTGCCCTCACTTTCCCTGCTCTTATTTCAGAAACCTTTACATTTGGCACAGACACTGGCTTTTTTATTGTAACTGACTGTTATACCAACTTTAACTTTCCTTGTTAGCTCGTAGGTTCTCTCTCTACACTATGCCAGTAATTCCTCTCAGCCTTGCAGCGCTTTGTGAGTATAATGATAAATAATTCTACCCCAGTGCGTTGTGCGCTTTCCCACTCAGCTTTGGCTCCTTACTCTTACTGCTCCCTTTCAACAACTACAATTAACAATTCCTAATATGGTATTCCCTCATCTTTCCAGTACCTCTGCCACCCCCATCTAACTTCTCCCTCCCATCCCCCCTTTTTTTTTCCCTGTTAAGTCCATTTATTCCTCAGGCTTTCCTCTCAAGGGCAGTTCTTTGATGCCGGTAGGGCTATTGACCCAAGGAATTGGGCCTGCTCATCCCTTCCCTTCCTCGGCTTGAACTTGAATGTCTCCCATTCCATATGGTGGTATATGATGCCTACAGATTTAGTACTCCCCCTATGAATGTAATAATTTCCCTCTCTTTCCCAGTTTGATTTCTCATCAAAACTATTCTCAGCAAAATTTGCAGACTAAAGACTTGCCTATTCTCTTATTTGCTCTTCTTTTGCACTCATCTTGCCACTCTTTCAACCTCGTATTCTCCCTTTTTATCCATGTATGGGCTCTGCCTTTCATATATAATTTTTAAATTGTAAAAATCTTGTGGACCAACTTTGATGCTTACCACCCTCTTGACCTCATCATTCTGCCAGTCATTCCTTTCCCCACCTGCACCTACCCTACTATAACCACAAACCTCTGCTGCATGCATTAGCACTGCATTTTATACATCTACCCCTTATTTTTTTATATCATTACCTGTGTTCTCTAGCATACTTTAAAGTAATTGCATGTACAGTACCCCCCCATCCATTAGATTCCCTCTTCTTTAGGTCATTCACTTTCATTTCTGATGTACTCATTGATGTCATTACAGCATTTAATAAATATAAGCAGAGTGTTTTCAGTAGGATCTATAGTGTTTTATATTGTAAATATACAGTAATTTTTGGTTAGGAAACTTTAAAGGTCATAACGTTTAGGTAATGTTCATTTACTTTAGTTATAATATTTTTTACTTATTTTTCAGCCGTTGAGAAAGCTGCTGTAGCACTGGAGAAAGAGGCCAAGATTGAGGAAGTTGCAGTTGAAGAAAAAACAGAGGTGAAACCAAAGGAAAAGACAGAAAAAGAAACACCCAAGGAAGAAATTGAAGAGAAATCCACGAAGTTAGGGGAAGTATCACAGTCGGCAGATAAGCGTGCTGAGGAATAACGTGCTTGGGGTGATGGCGGTAGCGGCGCAGGTAGCAGCTATCTGAAGCTACTCCATGGTTACTAACTGGCAAATAAGAATCCTCAGATGTAAATGAAGGCCCTCTTTCTGCTGTCAAAGACAACTAGCTCCTAGAATTTCTGTAATTGTCCTGACAGCAATTGCCTCCTGTTCTAGCTGTTATGTTTCTTACCCATTATTTTTTGTATATAAAAGATTGTATCTCTTTGATAATGTATTACTGAACTTTTATCTTCCCACCCTATGCCTCTCATATATTTAGAAAAAGGTAAATAAAGTCTGTCGAGTGACTGGGCGATCACGAAGGTTTTGTATCGAGCCTTGTAACATTAAGCAATTATAGTAAGACTATTTCCTTGCTTTTTATTTTTGCCTGAAATGTCTGTTATTTTACCTGTCCAATTATTTTAAACATTGATTATTCAATTCATGATTGTTTATTCTACTTCCCTGAGCTGTATGACCCTTCTGGGTTTATTGCTTAATTCTTCTTTCAACACACCGGCCATATCCCACCGAGGCAGGGTGACCCAAAGAGAAAAACAAACGTTTCTCTTTTTAAATTTAGTAATCCTTAATTATGATTATAGTAACTGGTGCATATACACTCGGGCACTTCTGAATGATATTGGGTTAATATTCACGTTAATGACTTGAAGTACTGCCTGGGTCATTACGGGAGGTTCCTTGATGCTGGTGAGAGGCTCTTGATCTAGGGAACTGGATCTGTGTTCCGGTTCTCTAACTGAGCCTGAACATCGTCCATTACCCCCCCCCCCCTCCCTCCAAACAGGTGCTTTATAATCCGTATGGGTTTAGTGCTCCCCATGATAATACTTCCTGGGGCAGGTCGATGTGTGGCAGGTGTGTGTGTGTGTGGGGCAGGTGTATACAACAATCTACAATAAATGATTTTAAGACAAGTGTGTACAATAACTGGTTTCCAAGGCTCCAGGTAGTGTACAATAACTGGTTTCTAAGACTCCAGGTTGCGTTCAGCAATCGTGTACAATCACTGGTTTCTAAGATTCCTCGCTTTATGACCCTAGTGGGTTTAGCGCTTTTGATTGAGACTTCAGGTAGTGTACAATCATTGGTTCCTGAGAGACTCGGTGTACAACAATCATGTACAATCGTTGTCTTAGTTTCAAAACATGTACACTGAGATCAAGAATACTTAAATGCCTAAAACAAGGATTAAGGCAAACTCAGTATATATACACAGAAATAAACTCCTCGGTATATATGGAAATATGTATACACTCAGACTTGATACACTGAGAGTGCTGTAATGACCCTAGTGGGTTTAGCGCTTATTATTGTAATAATCTTAAATGCATTATCAACATTACATTAGTAATAAATTCCCGTAGTTAATACAGAACTAACGTCAGTACATTAGTGACATTTTAGAATGGTATAAAATACCGACATCGTTGGGAGGTCACGTCCCTCACAAATCTCTGGATTTGAGAGGCACGTGACCTCCCAACCACTACATTCTTACCTCTACCTGTGGTCTACATCTCACCACCTGGTGGTATATAAGGCTCCATCCTGTCACTTCAATTCCATATTGTTTCAAACTATGGAACAATACTCTTCTCCAGACTGAGGGACTGACCACCTCAAAACTTCAAGGGTGATGGACTGATTACATCGTCTTCACGTCTCTTCTGCTTCTATCAACTTTTCTGTACTCGACTGAAGAAGCCTACTGTGTAGGCCAAACGTTTCGAAATAAAGATACCTAACTGTTGCATATGTGTCATACCTGATAACATTAGTGACATACATAACTAATTCAGAAATAATCTATAGTATCTGGATTTAATTTGAGTCTGCAAAGTTTAGGTGTCAACAATGAGGAAAGTCTAGCTATTAAATTTACAGTTACCAAAGTGTACGTATTAACAATGAGGAGAGAGTAGCTGAGGTGGTGTCTAGCATGGCAGGTCGATGTGTGGCAGGTGTGTGTGGGGCAGGTCGATGTGTGGCAGGTGTGTGTGGGGCAGGTCGATGCGTGGCAGGTTTTGTGGGGCAGGTCGATGTGTGGCAGGTGTATGTGGGACAGGTCGATGGGTGTGTGGGGCAGGTGTATGTGTGGCAGGTGTGTGGGGGGCAGGTGGATGTGTGGCAGGTGTGTGTGGGGGCAGGTCGATGTGTGGCAGGTGTATGTGGGACAGGTCGATGGGTGTGTGGGGCAGGTGTATGTGTGGCAGGTGTGTGGGGGGCAGGTGGATGTGTGGCAGGTGTGTGTGGGGGCAGGTCGATGTGTGGCAGGTGTGTGTGGCCATCAGGTCACAGTAACAGCAATCAATATTCTAACGGCCAGGGGTTTCAGTCACTCTTGTTGACACGAGTGTAACTTGGAATATCACACTAATATATAACCTGTCGTCGGAGCCAAGGAAATTGCTTGTCTCTGTGAGGCGTCAGTCGCCATGAACACATTGTCAGGATTAGCGAAGTTATTACGTGATCTTATGAATTAAGCCTGAATGCCTTCCACATCCCCCCCCAGGCGCTGTATAATCCTCCGGGTTTAGCGCTTCCCCCTTGATTATAATAATAATAATAATACGTGATCTTATCGTTAACTGGCGGGGTGTGTGTGTGCGCTCGTAGTAGGTGTAAATGAAAAATATTGTGACGTGTTGAGGGTGTCTGTCGAGGCTCTGAGAGGCAGTGGTGTAAGTTACATACAACCTTCCTCTTGCAGTCGTCGATGATATATGGAGGAAACTTGAGTGAGACCAGGGTCCTCCACACATTTCTGCTCACATGGCAGGAATCTGATATTACAAACCCTGAGGGGCTCGACGGAAGGGACCTATGACCACACAGTACTTAGTCTTGAGGACGTGGTTCAGAAATAATCTAGGTAATCCTTACTGGTTAAGACTCACCGTTCTGTTTCTTGACAGCTTCACTGGACTGGTGAAGGTCGAAAAGTCTGCGGACGACAACCACAGTGTCATCCACATAATTCAGTCACATGATGCGTGTAATAATATTAAGCCAATCTTCCTCCAGGTGGCTCGCCTCATAACAGAAAGCGTAAATAGTAGAATTCTTCACCTTGCACTTCAGTTTTACGCATCTTTGGTAAGATATATAGATTTCTATCTTCCCTACGAAGTCAGACATTAAATTTGCTCTCTTTCGAAAGACCTTGAATTAGGGATATGAATGAAATGTATAAATGGAAACCCGGAATAAAGAAGATATAAATAATATCCTAAAAATAACCACCACGGGACTTGTAGCAGTGCAACTCTATGTTCAGTAAATTTAGATACAGAAATGATGTAAGAAAACAATGGTAAGATAAGATAAGATTTCGTTCGGATTTTTAACCCCGGAGGGTTAGCCACCCAGGATAACCCAAGAAAGTCAGTGCGTCATCGAGGACTGTCTAACTTATTTCCATTGGGGTCCCTAATCTTGTCCCCCAGGATGCGACCCACACCAGTCGACTAACACCCAGGTACCTATTTGCTGTTAGGTGAACAGGACAACAGGTGTAAGGAAACGTGTCGAAATGTTTCCACCCGCCGGGAATCGAACCCGGGCCCTCCGTGTGTGAAGCGGGAGCTTTAGCCACCAGGCCACCGGGCAGTAAAGTTGTGGATGAATGGAACAAAATCCCAGATAACGTCATAGAAGCGAGAACTATGAATGTATATATGTTTATATATATATATATATATATATATATATATATATATATATATATATATATATATATATATATATATATAAATTTTCCCTTTACCTATTAACGAAAAAAATAGTAATATAAAATTATATGGAAGAATATATCTAGTGGTTTCTTAAGTTTTTTTAGTTTTTTTTTTTATATTTTTTGCAGTTTTTGTGTTTTTTAGTGTTTTTGCAATGGTTCTGCACACTCGCGCTCAAGCTCCTGGCCCCCGTGTGTGTGTGTGTGTGTGTGTGTGTGTGTGTGTGTGTACTCACCTAGTTGAGGTTGCGGGGGTCGAGTCCGAGCTCCTGGCCCCGCCTCTTCACTGGTCGCTACTAGGTCACTTTCCCTGAACCGTGAGCTTTATCATACCTCTGCTTAAAGCTATGTATGGATCCTGCCTCCACTACATCGCTTCCCAAACTATTCCACTTACTGACTACTCTGTGGCTGAAGAAATACTTCCTAACATCCCTGTGATTCATCTGTGTCTTCAACTTCCAACTGTGTCCCCTTGTTGCTGTGTCCTATCTCTGGAACATCCTGTCTTTGTCCACCTTGTCGATTCCTCTCATATCCCCCCTATTTCTCCTGTCCTCCAGTGTGTACTCACCTAATTGTGGTTGCAGGGGTCGAGACTCAGCTCCTGGCTCCGCCTCTTCACTGTGTGTGCGCTTGTGTGTGTAATCTGATGTACGGGAGCACATAAAGAGTCTTAATATGAGCAGATAGTTGAGTAGTACTCAGCTTCCTGCTGATATTGAGTACCGTTGATATCTGTGTATTGGTAACAGTGGACAGCGGGCAACCTGCACCGCCTCGTCTCAGGTGAAAATCCCGGTAGAAAACCATACAAAATATGATTGAGAATTATGTGGAATATTTATTTTTTATTCTTTATTATTAATTGTATTTATTATTTGTATTTCTTCAAATAACACTGATGAAAATAAAATGTCTCTGCAGGCACACGAAAGACGTCAGGATCATCATCAGAGAGACGAATGTTAAGTGATAATGGTTGGCCAGGAGAGAGAGAGAGAGAGAGAGAGAGAGAGAGAGAGAGAGAGAGAGAGAGAGAGAGAGAGAGAGAGAGAGAGAGAGAGAGAGAGAGCCGGGAAGGTGAGTAGTACCACAGGTGCACCTTAACGCCAGGTGAGGGGACCGACCCCCTCAAACACCCCCAAACAACATAGTTCCCACCACGACCCTTAACTACCCTCCCACCCGGAGACATGAAGCTATGACTGCTAACAGCAAACATGACGCAGCTGGTGACTGCTCATGGTGGTGCTCCACACGAGTAGATCGATGATAAGCAGCTGGAGTGGTGTGAGAGAGACACCTCAACAAGCAAGTAGAGTTCCGACAATCAATACAAGATGGCGATAAGGGGAGTCCCGCGCGCTACCCTCTCACAACGATGCCGTCTCCTTGACAACCACGCAATCTGCGCTCTGTTCGTTAACTCTCCTCCCTCGCTGTAGTTACTGTTAGAACGAATGGACCTCCTGGTGGTGAATGAGAGGGTTTTAAAAAAAGAGGGCGGAGAGGGGAAAGAGAGAGGCGTGGTGAGGTGGTAAAGAGGGGAGGGTGCGGCGGAGGAACTAGGTGGCGGCGGCTGCGGTGGCGGCGGCGGCGGCGGGT